TTTCCATTCTTTTACATTGCTCTTCCATCCATTCCTCCTTTCCAGACCCATCTTCCTCTGATCCTCTGAGTCTTCAACTTCCTCTCTGGGCCCCCCGCTATTTTATTTTTTAATGGGGTAGGTTTTGTTGAGTGTGTGTGTATGTATGTGTGTGTACTCACCTAATTGTACTCACCTAATTGTGGTTGCAGGGGTCGAGACTCAGCTCCTGGCCCCGCCTCTTCACTGATCGCTACTGGATCCTCTCTCTCTCTGCTTCCTGAGCTTTGTCATACCTCTTCTTAAAACTATGTATGGTTCCTGCCTCCACTACTTCACTTGCTAGGCTATTCCACTTGCTGACAACTCTATGACTGAAGAAATACTTCCTAACGTCCCTGTGACTCGTCTGAGTTTCAGCTTCCAGTTGTGACCCCTTGTCCCTGTGTCCCCTCTCTGGAACATCCTATCTCTGTCCACTTGTCTATTCCCGCAGTATCTTGTATGTCGTTATCATGTCTCCCCTGACCCTTCTGTCCTCCAGTGTCGTCAGTCCGATTTCCCTTAACCTTTCCTCGTACGACATTCCCTTGAGCTCTGGGACTAGCCTTGTTGCAAACCTTTGTACTTTCTCTAACTTCTTGACGTGCTTGACCAGGTGTGGGTTCCAGACTGGTGCTGCATACTCCAGTATGGGTCTAACATACACAGTGTACAGTGTCTTGAACGATTCTTATTAAGGTATCGGAACGCTATTCTCAGGTTTGCGAGGCGCCCGTATGCTGCAGCGGTTATTTGGTTGATGTGTGCCTCCGGTGATGTGCTCGGTGTTATGGTCACCCCAAGGTCTTTCTCCCTGAGTGAGGTCTGTAGTCTTTGTCCACCTAGCCTATATTCTGTCTGCGGTCTTCTTTGCCCCTCCCCAATCTTCATGACTTTGCATTTGGCTGGATTGAATTCGAGGAGCCAGTTACTGGACCACATGTCCAGCCTCTCCAGGTCTCTTTGCAGTCCTGCCTCATCCTCGTCCGATTTAATTCTTCTCATCAACTTCACGTCATCTGCGAACAGGGACACTTCAGAGTCTATTCCTTCCATCATGTCGTTCACATATATCAAAAATAGCACTGGTCCTAGAACTGACCCCTGTGGGACCCCGCTCGTAACAGGCGCCCACTGTGATACCTCTTCACGTACCATGACTCGTTGCTGCCTCCCTGTCAGGTATTCCCTTATCCATTGCAGTGCCCTTCCTTTTACGTGTGCCTGATCTCCCAGCTTCTGCACTAATCTCTTGTGGGGAACTGTGTCAAAGGCCTTCCTGCAGTCTAGGAAAACGCAATCTACCCAACCCTCTCTCTTCGTGTCTTACTTCTGTTACCTTGTCATAAAACTCCAGGAGGTTTGTGATACAAGATTTGCCTTCCATGAAACCCATGTGGTTTTCATTTATAATCTTGTTCCTTTCCAGGTGTTCGACCCACTCTCCTCCTGATAATCTTTCTCCATGACTTTGCACACAATACATGTCAGAGACACAGGTCTGTAGTTTAGTGCCTCGTTTCTGTTTCCTTTCTTAAATATGGGGACTACATTAGCTGTCTTCCATTTCTCAGGTAGTTGCCCAGTTTCAAGGGATGTGTTGAAGATTGTGGTTAGAGGCACACACAGCACCTCTGCTCCTTCTCTAAGGACCCATGGGGAGATGTTGTCCGGTCCCATCGCCTTTGAGGTGTCAAGGTCACTTAAGAGCTTCTTCACCTCCTCCTCAGTTGTTCGTATGTCATCCAACACTTGTTGGTATATTCCCTCTTGATGTTCCCTTCTGTGCTGTCTTCCCACAGCCCTTCCTGTCTCTACTGTAAAAAAATTCCTTAAATCTCCTGTTCAGCTCCTCACATACCTCCTGATCATTTCTTGTGAGTTCTCCACCTTCTGTCCTTAATCTGATCACCTGGTCTTTGACTGTTGTCTTCCTCCTGATGTGGCTATACAACAGTTTCGGGTCAGTCTTGATTCTCGATGCTATGTCATTTTCATACTGTCGCTGGGCCTCCCTCCTTACCTGTGCGTACTCGTTCCTGGCTCTGCGACTGATCTCCCTATTTTCGTGTGTTCTCTGCCTTCTGTACTTTTTCCATTCTCTATTGCACTTTGTTTTTGTGTGTGTGTGTGTGTGTGTGTGTGTGTGTGTGTGTGTGTGTGTGTGTACTCACCTAGTTGTACTCACCTAATTGAGGTTGCAGGGGTCAAGTCCAAGCTCCTGGCCCCGTCTCTTCACTGGTCGCTACTAGGTCACTCTCCCTGAACCGTGAACTTTATCATACCTCTGCTTAAAGCTATGATGTATTCTGCCTCCACTACATCGCTTCCCAAACTATTCCATTTCATGACTACTCTGTGGCTGAAGAAATACTTCCTATCATCCCTGTGATTCATCTGTGTCTTCAACTTCCAACTGTGTCCCCTTGTTGCTGTGTCCCATCTCTGGAATATCCTGTCTTTGTGTGTGTGTGTATTCACCTATTTGTACTCACCTATTTGTGGTTGCAGGGGTCGAGTCACAGCTCCTGGCCCCGCCTCTTCGCTGATTGCTACTAGGTCCTCTCTCTCCCTGCCCCATGAGCTCTATCATACCTCGCCTTAAAACTATGTATGGTTCCTGCCTCCACCACATCACTTTCTAGGCTATTCCATGGCCTGACTACTCTATGACTGAAGAAATACTTCCTAACATCCCTTTGATTCATCTGAGTCTTCAACTTCCAATTGTGACCTCTTGTGTCTGTGTCCCATCTCTGGAACATCCCGTCTTTGTCCACCTCGTCTATTCCACGCAGTATTTTATATGTCGTTATCATGTCTCCCCTGACCCTCCTGGCCTCCAGTGTCGTCAGCCCATTTCCCTCAACCTTTCTTCATAGGACAATCCCCGTAGCTCTGGGACTAGTCTTGTTGCAAACCTTTGCACTTTCTCTAATTTCTTGACGTGCTTGACTAGGTGTGGATTCCAAACTGGTGCTGCATACTCCAGTATGGGCCTGACGTAGATGGTGTACAGAGTCTTAAACGAATCCTTACTGAGGTATCGGAACGCTATCCGTAGGTTTGCCAGGCGCCCGTATGCTGCAGCAGTTATCTGATTGATGTGCGCCTCAGGAGATATGCTCGGTGTTATACTCACCCCCAGATCTTTTTCCTTGAGTGAGGTTTGCAGTCTTTGGCCATCTAAACTATATTTGTGTCTGCGGTCTTCTTTGCCCTTCCCCAATCTTCATGACTTTGCATTTGGCAGGGTTTAAATTCAAGGAGCCAGTTGCTGGACCAGGCTTGTAGCCTGTCCAGATCTCTTTGTAGTCCTGCCTGATTCTCGTCCGATTCGATTCTTCTCATTAACTTCACATCGTCTGCAAACAAGGACACTTCTGAGTCTATCCCTTCCGTTATGTCGTTCACGTATACCAAGAACAGCACAGGTCCTAGGACTGACCCCTGTGGAACCCCGCTTGTCACAGGCGTGTGTGTGTGTGTGTGTGTGTGTGTGTACTCACCTATTTGTGGTTGCAGGGGTCGTGTCATAGCTCCTGGCCCCGCCTCTTCGCTGATTGCTACTAGGTCCTCTCTCTCCCTGCCCCATGAGCTTTATCATACCTCGCCTTAAAACTATGTATGGTTCCCGCCTCCACTACGTCACTTTCTAGGCTATTCCACGGCCTGACTACTCTGTGACTGAAGAAATACTTCCTAACATCCCTTTGATTCAACTGAGTCTTCAACTTCCAATTGTGACCTCTTGTGTCTGTGTCCCTTCTCTGGAACATCCCGTCTTTGTCCACCTTGTCTATTCTGCGCAGTATTTTGTATGTCGTTATCATGTCTCCCCTGACCCTCCTGTCCTCCAGTGTCGTCAGGCCGATTTCCCTCAACCTTTCTTCGCAAGACAATCCCCTTAGCTCTGGAACTAGTCTTGTTGCAAACCTTTGCACTTTCTCTAATTTCTTGACGTGCTTGACTAGGTGTGGATTCCAAACAGGTGCTGCATACTCCAGTATGGGCCTGACGTAAATGGTATACAGAGTCTTGAACGAATCCTTACTGAGGTATCGGAACGCTATCCGTAGGTTTACCAGGCGCCCGTATGCTGCAGCAGTTATCTGATTGATGTACGCCTCAGGAGACATGCTCGGTGTTATACTCATCCCCAGATCTTTTTCCTTGAGTGAGGTTTGCAGTCTTTGGCCATGTAAACTATACTGTGTCTGCGGTCTTCTTTGCCCTTCCCCAATCTTCATGACTTTGCATTTGGCAGGGTTAAACTCAAGGAGCCAGTTGCTGGGCCAAGCTTGTAGCCTGTCCAGGCCTCTTTGTAGTCCTGCCTGATCCTCATCCGATTTGATTCTTCTCATTAACTTCACATCATCTGCAAACAAGGACACTTCTGAGTCTATCCCTTCCGTTATGTCATTCACATATACCAAGAACAGCACAGGTCCTAGGACTGACCCCTGTGGAACCCCGCTTGTCACAGGCGCCCACTCTGACATCTCGTCACGTGCCATGACTCGTTGTTGCCTCCCTGTCAGGTATTCTCTGATCCATTGCAGTGCCTGTGTGTGTGTGTGTGTGTGTGTGTGTGTGTGTGTGTGTGTGTGTGTGTGTGTGTGTGTGTGTGTGTGTGCGTGTGTGTTTGTGTGTGTGAAAGTGCAAAAGCCAACAGTTAACAGAGTAATCCTGTATATCATTTGTGAAGTTTCAAGTTCCTGAAAACATTCTTAGAAAAATTCTCATTTTTTTAATGGTTAGATGGAATATTTTATAAACTTCTATATAGTAATGATTATTTTTAAGTTAAATAGTACACATAATAAACAGTGCCCTGAAAATACACTGTTTATACTACTGCATATATATCATATATGAAATTAGAATACTCTGAACAGTTTATAGAGTTGCCATAAAAAATAAATATGGTTTCCGAATTCCGCAAAAAAAACAAAAAACAAGAAAGGTAAGATATTTACCTGTAACTTGTTGATTAAGGAATAAAAACATTCAGACATGGCAACGCTCAGCATCACTAAGTCAAACTTCTCCTCTTGAACTTCTTGTAATTTCTTGGGAACGAAGAGCTTTGCCACAATATTCAGGAGACATGAAAATCACCTGCATGAATGAGCTGAATTGTTTCGTTGTAAAGTTGTTGGGAAATTTTGAAAAAATGTCTGTGTTCGGCACAAATACTTCCCGGATTCTTGTTCTCGAATTTGATGTCTTGTGGCCAGTTACGAAGGTCACCTGTGAAAAGCATTACACTGCAATTGTCGAATAGGTAAAATTGGTCAAATAGCAAGAACTCATTTTAAATTAAGTCCTTTCTAAAATTTAATGTTATGCATTTAATGATATTATTTTTTTCATGTATGTTAATGTAACAATTAATAATTTTGCACCAGAAGAACCTAAAAAACTTAACTAACCTTATTATAACAAGCACAATTTAATTTAGCCTACTTACAATAAAATATGTAGTGCTTGTGAAGGCTGGTGCACCTAACGGGGAGTAGAATGAAATTAGATCTGAGGCATCTTACGAGGCTCTCTCAGGGAGCCAGCACCAAGTAACAGACAGTGACAGACAGTTTTACGCATTCGTGCCAAATGCGTAAAACTTGCGATTTTGGCTTAAATAGCAAGGCACTTCTTGCCGAATAGTTGTCAACCATGGACTGCTGTGCCGAACTGTACACTATTTGGTGATACCAGAATCCCTAGTACCAGGAACTCTGAATTTGATTCACGACATCCCAGGACCAGAGCATCCAGGTAAAGACAGCACTGCCCTACGAGGGCAGTGAAAATTGGAAAGTAAGTGCATAAGAGTGTTTGTTATCTGCCTTAAGCACAAAGGTACCGTCACCGGTCCTAATCCCATTCTCAAGTATTCCATTTCAAAGGAGCACTGGGAGAGAACTTCTCTTGACCTGTTAACGAACTTCTCTACATCAGAAAAGGAAAATAAACACATGCTTGTAATGGTGGATAACTTGACATGGTACCGTGAGCTAGTACCCATCCTGATAAAATCACCGAGACTGTTGCTAATGCTTCACAAGAACATGTTCTCCATCAAACTTGCCCACGTGCCATCCTGACGGACAATGCCTCAGAGTTCATAAATATTACAATGGAGGATCTTTGCTCCAGATTTGACATATATCAAGCACCAGTAGCTCCAAGCCATCCTGCGAGTAACAGCCATGCTGAAAGTACAAATCGCAATATCCTCGAAGTGCTCGGAGAAACCATCAATCCGTGTTGTACCACATGGGATGGGATCATTCCACATATGCGGTGTATCTTAGACTTTTCACACAACAGCTCGATCGGTGAGACACCCACACTTTACATTGTATGGCTATGATAAGGGTTTGCCATATGATATTCCATTTGCTCTGCCTCAGCCTGTTAATGATACTGACAATGTCAGCATCAACAAGATGCGGACTTCATAGCATGTCTCTGAGAGAGTACGTGAAAATCTCAAAAAGCAACAGATAAGTTTACATCTAATCGTAATGCTATTGCTAAGGAGAATAAGGTTGTACTAGGTTGTAATGTTACAAAATCCTTCGCAAACCCCTGGTATGTGAAAGCTAGTTTACAAATTTATTGTTTTTTTACCTTGTTCTCAGACAGTTCCACTGCAAAAAATTTGAGGTGAGGGAGATTACCAGAGTAGGAACAACTAAGGAAGCTCATCTTGACCACATGAAGTACATTGACAGTGTGCAAGCCGAGGTTGAGCTCTAGGAATGTGCGTAACATTTCTGTGACACTGACGTACCTGTTGACTTGTCCAACTTCTATGCTGTCTACATTAACTGTCTTCATGATGAAATGGGCATCAGTGCTCATATGCTGTATAATTAGTCCAAATAATGGAGTCAAGATGAACTACACTTTGTACATATCTAAATTGTGTTTTTCTTAGGGTACCCATAGTAGTGTTATAATATTTTTCTTCTATGTAATGTAACAACAAGTTTGTTGCACTCTGTGGATGGTTTAGTGTTCATTGATGTGCAGACAAGTCTGATGTCCGGTACAGCCCTATATCAACCTGCATATAAGAAGAATTATACTCCAGTGCAGTCCTAACGTCCCATGGCCCCCATCCAGCACTATGTGGATTAACATGCCATTTTCTCTTCTACACTGCATTTGGAAGGCCTGCTAGAATTATTCATGTAAATATAGGGGTAAGCCAAAGCCAGTTCCAAGAGTGAATTTGATTATTTTTGTGCTTTCTACCCGTGTTGTTGTGTCGAGATGGCCCGAGTCTGCTGTAGGCCTAGTTTCTAAAGTTCCCACCAGATGTCAGGCACCAAGGTAGCCTCATGTTCGCCTACGTCATTCTCATTCGGTGACTCTCCTACATTCTATCAGCACCTCCTCTACTACTGGGGATGGGAACCCCTCATTTGGCCCGCTTTTTACTTGTTTCTCCAAATAAATGAAGCTAGTCTATCCCCGTATACTTCCAGCCATTTTAGATTCCAAGCACGTCACCAGACTCCTCAAAATTCAAGTTATTACACTCATCACAGGCACCCACTCTGACACCTCATCACGTCATCACATCCGGTATTCTCTGATCCACTGTTGTGCCTTTTCTGTTATTTCTTCATGTTACTTTAGGCTTTGCCTTAATCTTTAGTGCAGTAGAGTGTTGAAAGTCCTCTTACAGTCCAAGAAAATGCAGTCTACACCCCCCTTCTCTCTTGTCTTACTTTAGTCACCTTGTCATAAAACTCCAGTAGGTTTGACACAGGACTTTCCTTCAGAGAAACTGTGCAGGTTGTTATGTATAAGGTTATTCCTTTCTACGTGCCCCATTACTCTTCTGCTGATAAACTTCTCCATGACTTTGCATACTGTACATGTCAATGACATTGGTCAGTAGTTTAATGATGCCTGTCTGTCTCCTTTCTTGAATGTTTACACTACATTTGGTGTTTTCTACCATCGTGATATGATGGAAGCCTTTCTGTCTCCACTGAAAATACTTCCTTAACTCTTGTTTTGACCTGGTCCTTGATTGTTGTTTTCTTCCTGATGTGGCTGTATAACAGCTTTGGGACAGATTTCGTTTTTGAAACAAAGTCATTCACATATTGCTGTTGGACATCCCTCTTTATCCATCGATATATTAAACTCTGGCTTTTCAGCTAATTTCCTCATCTTCCTGGGTTCTATGTCTTCCATACTTTACTTACTCCTGAGAAAGGGTTTGTTTTTTATTAGGAATGTGCGTTTCTTTTACAGTAATATGTGTGTGCGGTTTCTTGTACTTACACCTACATGAGTATGGTGTGATAATTTCATGTGCTTTTCTTATATATACTGATAGGAGGCTTGAGTGATGTATAGTGTGCTTGATGCGCTTTCCTTTTTTGTTGTTTTTGTCTGCGACGGGTTGCTTCTCCTGTGTCCAATAACGTGTGCGTGTGTGATAATTTATGTATATACTTATTGTTCTCCACAGTGTTATACTATAAGTAGTAATGATTTCTACAGAGCGGTCTCCTTTCCTGAGCGGTCTCCCACGGTACGGTCTCCTTTCCTGAGCGATCTTCCACGGTACGGTCTCCACGGTACGGTCTCCACGGTACGGTCTCCACGGTACGGTCTCCACGGTACGGTCTCCACGGTACGGTCTCCACGGTACGGTCTCCACGGCACGGTCTCCACGGTACGGTCTCCACGGTACGGTCTCCACGGTACGGTCTCCACGGTACGGTCTCCACGGTACGGTCTCCACGGTACGGTGTCCTCTGAGCGGACTCCTTTTCACACCTTTATACTAATGACCTTGACCTCACCCTCGACCACCTCGCCCTAAACCCCCACCCACGCCCCCCACCCACGCCCCCACCCACGCCCCCCACCCACGCCCCCACCCACGCCCACCACCCACTCCCGCCTGCCCGCGTGCCCGCCCGACCGGCGGCCACCCCACACCCTGCCCCACGCCCGTCCTTGCACCCGCCCTGCACCTTCTGCAGCGTCGTCCGGATCGCCCCCACCCCCCGAATTTTTTTCCGACTTTTTTCGAATTTTTTTTTAATTTCACTTTCTTGTGCTCTCCATCTCCTCGGATCAATTTTTTTGGGTTTCCCCCAATGGGTACCCCTCCCACCACCCACTTCCATCCCAAAATTCCTGCTCCATCTCCTTGGATCAAGTTTTTCTCGATATTAATAATACAAAGACTCCACTTCCTCGGATCAAGTTTTTGAGGTTCTCCTTCCCACTTTCACCCCCATTCCAAAATTCCTGCTCCAATTCCTCGGATCAACACCCTCACCCACACCTCCCACCATCCACTTCTACCCAAATATTCCTGCTCTACTTCCTTGGATCAAGTTTTTCTCAATAATAATACAAAGACTCCATCTCCTTGGATTCCCCCCTCTGGGGGTAAGCATTCAAATGAACTCCCCCTATGGGGCATGGTACTTTCTCTTACTGCAGGTCTAAACAAGTGTGACGTCACCCGACCTGTGTTTGCACGGGGGTCAGTGACGTCACATGATGACCTCACACACACAGGCTGAATGTTGTCGACTTCCCCCTATGTCAGTGACGTCACGTGATGACCACACACAGGCTGAATCTTGTCGAGCAAGATAATAAAATGCAGGGTAACACTAATACACAATATTTTCATTTATTTATTTATTATACAACCAATGCATTTCATATACATCCAACAAAAAATTCATTGAGAAAAAGGTACAATTCATTGACTAAAATCAACATATTTTTCTCTTGAAGAAATTCTGTGCATTTTGTTCTGGATCTTCTTCGTCGTCACCATCTCAATATTACACATTTCATATACAACATAGGGAAAACATTACACATTTTCACTCTTCACTCAGGATAACCCATATAATTCCACATTTTTTCGTTAATACCCACAACAATCCACAATTTCTTTACAAAAGATTCACTCTCCTCAAGTCTAGACATTTTTCTCTTTTAAAAAAAACCATTTCATTAGAAAAAGTCAACACAACACTTGCATTTTAACCATTTTTCCCGATAAATTCACTAGTCAAAATTTTACATATTACGAAGTTAATACACACACACACACACAACACACACACACACACCTCACTTTACTTTGAACACCTCAAAACACTCTCATAAATCATTTGAATACTCACAAAAAGCACCTTGAACATTTCCAAACAACACTAAAACATTTCCAAGACAACATTTTGAAT